AAACAATACATGTATCTCTGGTAACTACTATATTTAACTATTATGCTATATTTATTGACTAGCATGAAATAACAAAAACCACTTTGCATTTATATAAACATAAATCCATCATAACATACAATGCAGATGTTTTTTCCAGATTTAGCATTAATAAAGACACATTGAATGCTGCAAACTTACTTTCGTGACCAATCGTTTTGTTTCTCCAGCTTGAACAGTGATAGGCGCCGTCATAGGAAGCATGGGAGCATTGTCATTAACGTCGTTCAAAGTTACTACGAACGATAAAGGTGCGGAAGCTGCGACGCCTGTTTTTTCTCTGGCAACCACTTGAAACCGAAAGCGACCAGGACTCGGCGGATCTCGGTCTAAATTCTCCTCGTTCACAACCAATATTCCGGAGGAGTCGATTGCGAAGAAATTGGTTGTTAATTCGAATGAGTACGATGGCTTCGGATCTTCAGGGCCCTGAATATTGTTATTAATAATATAATTATTGACTTGTACTGCTACATAGGTTGCTGCGAAAGTTTCGGGAATCTGCTATTTCTAGCTTTATGTTATTTTCGTGAAGCTTTACGTTTTTCAGGTTACAAGATGCTCGCACAACACAATGGAGAATGTATTAATGTCAAAGGAGAATATTTTGGAAAACAATCAAATTTATTTCTGATTTTCTCATATTCTACCAAGACTTTTGCAGCAACTCCTGCACGACAAGGAACTATAAAATGTAAAATATATTTGACTATATGAAAAGAGTCTATAAGTTGTTATATCTTTCAAACAGGATCGAACAGGACATATATTCATATGAATTTTTTCTTATTATCTTTGTATTCTCTATCTACCCTTAAAGTAAATTCTATATGATACGACACGTCCAGTATATTAGTAAAATTTTCTTATGACTCTATTGGTTGGAACATGATGTTAATCTTATATTCCTACAGGAGTTTGGTTAGGTGCGAGAGTGAGGACGGATGTGTGCAAAGTAGCTGGGGATATAATGTGATTGTGAAATTGAAATATGCGAAAGGAAAAATAACGGAGAAATAAAGTAGGGATCTCAAAACGAAAAGGAAATGAAGATATAGAAATTAAAGACACTATACATAATACTCATACAAGTAGAATTCTAAAGCGACTCGTTTTCAGTAATTGTGTGTAGATATAACTTCTTCCTCAATTTTAACGTCAATTATGACTCACAATATTTTATTACTTCAGATTAGAAATGCGATAAACTGTTTAAATGTGTAAATACAATTGCATGTCTATTGAGATAGTTCTATCTTTTACGGGATTTCATTAATTTTTCACATTCTTACAATGCCTTTTACGTAACGGTAAAACAGAATCGTCAATTGCCATGTTTTTGTATGAATGAAATGGCCACTTCGTAACTTATTCATGGTTCAGTGAACGGGAGGAGATCAAGTTTACTGATTACACTTACCAAATCAGCATCTGAAACGGTGAGTACTATGGGCTCGTTATTTTCATCGATAACCTTTGTTCCTATCGGAGCGTTCTCATCAACGAAACCTTCCACATTCGATGCTGTTATAATTGGAGGATTGCTGTCGACTGGTTTCACGGTAATAGTCAATTTTGCTGTAGCTGATCGTTTCGCTTCGGATACTTCAACGGCCTATTGTGATTAAAAAAAATACGTCTAATTATACTCATTGATTAAAACACTTAGCACTGCTATGCATTTTTATAACGTTTCTATGCTTATTGGTTAAAATGTCATTTGATAGAAATTGTATGGTAATTTTTAACCCTTATATACACAACCGGATATTCGGGTAACCACTTTTACTTTAATGTAGAAATCTGTTATGTTCTGGTTGGAATATTAAAAAATCTCTTTAGATACTCTTTCTTTGGATATTTTTTAGTTAAAACACATTTAATAAAGAATTATTCTAGCAAAGAATAAAAAGTTAGAGAGTTTAAACGAAACCTATGCTCTACTCATGACTACTCATAAGACGGATGATAAGGGAAAGTCGAATATTGATAGACAAAACAGTTATTTTTTTATACTAATTAATATATTAATTATTTATTTACATATAAATGAATTTTGTATTATATAAATTTTATTTATCTATTATACTGATAACGTACAATTGATCTTGTAATTGTTTGTGCACACTTAGCATATATAAGGTTGTTATAATTTTTTGGTCTTTTTATGGAACCAGTCACTTCCTAAATATATTTTCCTCTAAGAACGTGTTCAAAAATTATATTTTAGAACGCAATTCTCTTTATTTTTTATTGGCTTATGGCACATGTACTAAAATAGAATTAAATGTACCGAAGGCAACAAGAAATGAACAGAATTATATGATAAAATACTGTTTTCCAACACGTTATTTATGTTTTAATATGACAAAAATGTATTATGAAACTTTTTTACAACAATTTCATTCATAAATAAATGTTCTTTATAACAATTGATCTTAGAGACGGGGTTTCCACGAAACTTGCACTATACGTAATGCGAATCTACGGAATCTCGATATTGAGAGTGTGACTAATAGATTAATGGTGTCAGAGAAATCATAAGCTATCGAAAGGTAGACAAAATGGAATACTGCGCATATATATTTCCTCTATACGCCCTTTCTTATTTCGAAAATAATATATGAATATACGCAGTAAGCTGTAACTACAGACTTTGACATTAGATCTTTTTCTAGTTATACATCGCTTCTTTGTATTTAAATTGATAAAATATTATTTTGTTTGTGATAGTAATAAAATCTAATATATTTTTGAATATATGAATATAAAATTTCAGCATCCAAAGTTGTCGGTTCACCGGTAGTGATCATTAATACTATCATCAAACACCCTCCATAAGAATCCTAAAATTGAGAAAAATGAACATTCTAAAATTTGATCTCAGTCGATTTGTTAGTCAGTACATCGCTATAATCGTACTACATAAGTCCTCCACAAAATGGTATAACTAAAGGTTTAACTGCATTCTTAAAATATAATATTATTACTTGAAGAATCCAACAACATGCTGTAAATATGTGGTCTGTTTTGTTAAATAATTTTGTTTATTGATCAGATATATAAATTAGTAATAAGGAATCATACACACGTTTATCTGACAAATTTTCAAATTCGTCTTTTTGAATAAATATTTCTGTCATAAAAGTGAATTTGATTTCTCATTCAGAGCTTTATTCAATATGTTGTAACTGGAAATGTCTAGCGTTTTCATCTTTTCATTATACTATTTCTGTAAGGTATCAATTTTTATTAGCATTTCCTTATTAGTATCCTATGACATCTTTTATAGGAAGTTGACTGATTTTAATACTCCATGCTTTCAAAGGATTTTATCAAAAGTAAACCAAGTGAGCTTTTCTTTAAAGTCAATCTATGTTGCTTTGCACTTACCTTAATAATAATATCAAACTTCTTCGTTACACTTGTGTCCACTGCTTTAATTTGTTTGACTGCGCCGGTGTTTGGGTTGATTTCGAAGAAATCACGGTAATTCGTTGGGTTACCGCTCAGGAATGAATAATGAATGGGTGCGTTGATACTGTCCATATCAACAGCTTGTATTTTCTCCGGCGATATATTAAGTATACCGGATAACACTCCACTCGATACCTGAATAGAAAAACATAGTAGTGAATAGGACCAATTGTGATGATTCAAGATCGTTTGCTGCAACACAATTTATCTAACAGAACTTAAATATTGTGCCCTACAAGATTTAAGATCCACAATAAGAAATAGATAGAGTAGGGTAAGTCGGAGAGAGATGGCCTACTTTTTTTAAAAAGAAATGTTACATCATAAATATGATTAATACCTAACCAAAGAAAATATATTTACGAGAATAAATATATATACATGTATAAGAAGAATAATTGAATAAACATCTGTGCATGTTTCAGTAAACCACTAAATATAATTTAAAATATAGATACATCTCACCTGGAATTACCCTATTACTAATGACATAGAGTTTGTAGTAGTTCATTATATGTTCATTATACGTACATAAGTACAATCTCTGGAATAATGTTTCCTATCAAACACATTAAACGTAATTTACTAAAAATGTTTATGTTTCAAAACTACGCAAAGAAATGTTAAAGGGAATTTATTATACAGTAAGTATAATAGAAAAATAATTAAAAACTTTTTGCGATTATGTCAAGAACTAAGAGAGAACAGTATTTACATAAACGAGAAAGATTGTTCAAAATATCGATTTCTATAACATTTACAAATTTTATGAAAATCGGTTTTTCTATCAGAATTCTGCAATAATACCCTAACAACTTATGTTCATTGAATTTTTGTAGGTATCAAGCCATTCTAAACAAGAATTCTACTATATAAGCATTTTATTAAATATATTTAAAGATTTTATATTTCATCTTTTGAGTGCAACGAACTACAACTTTTCATGAAGTACTATTTATTAAATATGTCAATTATTCATATAAAAATTATTATATTTCTTGATAATGTATAACAGTTACCTAATCAAGAAAGTAAGATTTACTCAAATTCCGTATGTATTGATAAGTGGAAATATTTTTAAAAAACTGATACTTCATGGACTTTTTATAAAGTCATAAAATGTTTCAACATTTAGCAATTTGGAAAGTAAGTATTCCTTGTCAACAGAGACTTTAGTAACAGACAGTCGAACAAATTGTTTCCGTATCGGCTTTTTGACAATATGACGAACCGTTACGTTGTCATAATGGATATTAACAGTTTTAATTAGTAGTTAAAATTACTGTGCAAACAGTCCAATGTCTTTGAGAATTTAATTTAAGGATCGCGGTTGCATGACACGCATAGTTGATATCCGAAAAAAATCAATGTTATTACATTAGTTTATTAACTAATGTGCAAAAGACCATTTCAATTGTGATAACAAGTATCTTCTTGAATTTTATAATCAAGGGATCGATGCTACTTTGAAGTGCTATGTTTTCATAGTGTTCTTACGCCGACCATATTAGAATAAAATTAATAACTAAGAAGAGAAAATCATCCCAAAAATAGATATAGTACGCCTAATATAGTTCGGAAGTTATGTAAAGGAAAAGGGTTAAGTAACCGAAACTAAAATGGATGAAACACTTTTCGTGTACTTGACAACTTTTTCTACAACAAATACTAGTTTTATAAAGTATATATTCCATTTATGTATTTTGATATGACATTATAGTAACGTTCGTGTTAACGGTGACTAACAATGTGAGATCCAATCTCATTCACCATATTAACAAACCAATGGGTAGTTTTATTCATCTGGATATTGTTAAAAATATTTTCAACCTTTTCCTGAAGAATATATATGAATTATTTTCCTGTAGATTGAATCTATCAGACTGACAACGGTATTGATTACACGCTGTCATAATGAAAGATATATCCAAGTAAACAATGTTCATCTCGGAAAATATCCACAGAGTGGGGAATATAACTGGAACCACCTCCACAAGTGATGACTTCAGTGAAAAATGTTTCAATGAAAAATATATGATTCCACCTAACACTTTGCTCTACGATTTATTTTCCAACTGTGATCGATACCACAACTTCGTCACCAATAATTTATTGAAACAAGAGAAAAATTCTATGCATATTCTATATCTATGTTTATCCTACAATATAACAAATAATAACAGAAGAATAATATTATAATTTTAATTAAAAGAAACTCAGTAATACTTATGTTTGTTAAATTCTATTTCTACTTTCACTACGAGTTTCACACATTATAATGAGGCAAGGGATTAAAAAAACAAATTTGATCTTCATATGACCTTTATGCAATCTTCTATTGAAACATTAATTACACCAAATTATGTCTCCCTTCTGTCCAATAAATTTTTATCTGGAACATTTTCTATTAAAATCATTACTTATGCAGAAATCGGACTGGTTCCAGGTTACGTGCTCACCCTGTATATAATTAATATAAACTTCAAATAGTTTCTTCTGTCGTAATCCATTGCGCAACGAATAAATATCCGCTACTGTACTTACCGAAGCTGAATATTCTGGATTAATGCATGCGCCATCCAGAAGCATACAGCCCTGGTATATGAAAGAAGGATCCTGATCATCATCGTCTCTGATATTTACTGTTAGCGTGGTAGTGGATGTAAATCGGTCAGGTAGGTTCCTGGCTCGATCCTGAAACACATTGTTCAAATATTTTTGTACATTTTGTTTAATAATAATATTTATATTTGTAATAGAAAATGAAATAATAATCGATAATCTGGCCTCTAGGTAAAGTTGGAGTCTTATGTATGTATTGGGAACTTTCTAAATTACTTAAACAGATATTCGTACTTATATGCAGTAACCATTGATACAATAAATTGCAACTGTTTTACTATCATGCGAATATTTAGCAAATTATATGATACTAAAGGATATTTATAATTACATTACCCTTTCTTCTTATCAACTGAAATTAAAATTAGTTAACTATATTCATGTTCATGTAAAACGTTTACGTTATCGTTATTAAATATTTCCTCGATATCAGTGCGTTATGAAGAAAATTTAAGACACCTAGTTTTTAAATAATACTACCATTAACAAGTAATATAATAGCAAAAAGTAATTTATTTTGAAACGATGGTAATTTTAAGTTTTATAATCAGAAACATTCTATTTTCTTTAGATTGTACATAACGTCCGCAAGGTAATTCACTGTCACGAAAGGTATATAATACGAACATTTTATTTGATTTCATTACATATCCTAAAATCTTGTATGATTCTTTATAATCCTATGCAAAAAGAAATTTATTAAAAATTACTCATCACGCTTTACATTATTCATAGAATCATTGTAGTCACGAACACATATGAAGCGTGCAACAACCGATACGACCTAAAAACAATAAAAATGCGCGTTTGAAAATGTCCTCACAGCACTGTATTATTGGAAAGTGAATCAATTTCCTCAAAATAGAGTACCTTTTTCTATTTTTTAGGGGAAGTTTAATAACAATTCAGTCCTATTTAGTCGATAGGAAACTGTAGGATGAAAAGACAACGTAGAAAGTAGTAATGTTTTTAATGCAGTTATGAACGAAATTCGAAGTCATGCCCAAATATCAACTTCTTTACCGCTCCAGGGAACCTCTCTCTTTTACTTTGTCCTCTATTTTTTCTTCTTTCTCCTGTTTCGTAACAACGGGCGTGGCAGTTTACTATATGCAGAATTACGCGTTGATAGAAGGAAGGCGGGTCTAATTCGTCAGAGTGGAAACTCCTCTTCTCACCGGCATTTTCGGTAATAATGAATTATTCATCAGTATGGTTACATGATAATCAATTAACCAGAAACGAAACAAACAACCAAAGACCTCTCTTTCCCTTATGTCCTCCCAATTGTCAACTTTTCATCACAATAGTATCCATATTTATATAACGCTATTTAAGCTGATTTCTTGAGATTCATTGAAAACGAGGACATTAAATCAGGGAACTTCGATAGTTTATTTTCGACTCACATGGAAAGGTATCGAACTCGGAAGTTCCAAAAATTATGAACATTTATACGTAAGTAGAGTAAGTCAAGTCTAATATATTCCAATCTTTTTGTGCTGAATTTCACTTTAGAGGGATGACAAAAATGCAAATTTTTCTTTCCCATGGATTATTTTGAGAATAGCAAGAGATATGGAAAAAGGGTTTCGACAAAAAATATATTGTTCAAAAGTTCAAATTTTTCAACATTTTTATTTGGAAAAGGACTGATTTGAAAATTTGATTTTACAATTTTATAGACGTGAAACAACAATGCATTTTTTCAAAAGATGGTTTCACCTCTTCAACGTGAAAATCAACACACACAAAATTGCAATATATTAGGCTTAACTTACTTTACTTACACACAAAGTTTCATAATTTTTTGAATATCAAAGTTCGATACTTTTCCTTGTCAGTTATTCGAAATCGAGTAATTTTTGTATTTCAATTTTACATAAGGATGTGCACCAGTTTCAATATGGGACGGCGTAAAACTGAAACTTTTAAATAACGGAAAGCAAACATTGCCGAAACATATATGGCGATCAGAATGTGCGAGTCAATTCGAATTGCATATAAAGCGACAAAGTTAGAAAGTAACATTACCCACTATTGAAACGTGTCTGTTCTGTAGCTACAGTTTTAAAGGTATTCCAGTTTCATATAACTTTTCTTAATTACATAAGTTCACTATATGTATAACTACGAAAGAAACTTTATGATTTATGCAAGAAGTGACTAAAGTTTCGAGGACCGACTGATTTAATCGCGTTTCTTATGAAAACAAATCGTCATAAACCTGAAAATGCGACTTAAAGTAATTCACATATTTCATTAAAACTATTGAAATATTTTATATATTTAATTAATTATTGGATTAAAATAATAATAATAATTCATTCTCTAAGTATAACAAGTTTATACACTTCAAGAAACGTAAATTAGTAGCAGTAAAAATTTTAAAAATAATAGTAGATGTCTCAATAACGCAGTGCTTTATATGATTACCTTATATGAAAATAAAATAGTTCCACAGAATTGTGCAGCATGATAAAATAAATTTAGTTTATTTCCATCATAGATATTCAAATTCCTCAAAATTGAGAAAAAATTCTGCGAATAGTTATTTTCAAATTAAACTGTTCGGTAAAATACCACGGCATATGTGGCTGCAATATTTATTTGCCTTTGAACTGCCTTTTTCTAAGTTTCAATCCGTATTAAAAACAATAACAATGATTCCTCTCGACAGATATTTGAAGGAGACGGACCATGGTGAAATAAAATATTTTCAAAATATTCGATAGTCTAGTAAAATCATGGTAAATAACAAGGAGATATTTTTTATTCTTTGAATTATTAGTCGTCCGATCTTTTCACTTATCTAACAATTATTTCTTGTATGGTAAACCTTAGTTTACCTTTTTTCAACCTAAGGTCATTTTTAATGACAATATAATTTTTAACACAACTTTGATGTTTATATTTAATGTTTTCTATTATAAACAAGATACACATCCAATCATGAATGAAGTTAGTAAATGTATGAATATTATGTAATTAACCATATATTTTCATTATTTTATAAATATATTATATATTTGTATAAATTTTTCTTCTTAACCTCTTGAGACACGGCACATATACGATGTACAGTATATGATTACTTCAATACCTTCAATATCTTCAATAAATATTAAAACTGTGACACGGAATCGTATATACACTTTTTCTTTCAGCTTATTTCTATCAGAAAAATAGTATACTACCGCTATTTTATTCGAAATAATGTCGTTATAATGCAGTGAATGGCGGTACATTGTTATTAGATAAGTGAACGTAATTCTGTACAAAAGTCAGGTTTGAAGGGGTTAACCCCTTGACCTACAATATCGTTTAGATTCGCGAAGAAAATTTTCAAGTGAATTTGAGAAATCTAATTGCTATTCATTCTTTTTAAATATAAATTAAATATTACTTCTCTACTACCAATCGTTAAACTTTTTAATAAACGATGACATAGGATAAGTATTAAAATTGTTTTGTTAAACACGATGTCCAAGTTAGACCATCTCTTTCCTTAACAACCGGCATGTATGTGTACATATTGTCAACATTCTCAGTAAAAAACTCCTTCACGTTTAACCGTGTACCAATTAAATACCGACTATTTACTTACCAATGAAGTGGCATTAACACAGTTTAACTCCGCTTGCATTAACGCGACTACCAGGAACACTTTCACTGGATTGAAAACTCCCATTGTAGATTGCTAGTAGCGCTGTTTCATTAAGATCTATCCGACTTTCCACTTCTTTCTTTTTATCGTATACATTATTTCGTTTAACTCTTGATCTAGATAAGATCGTCACGTATCACATCACCCCTTTTTAACACGTTAAAGACTAGAGCACCGATCAACGTTCTATTTTCCTCTATCCATGTACAGGATATGTACCAACATTTAGTGTCGTGGTTTTTATAGATGGTTCTACACTTTAGGATCGATAGAGATTTATTATAAAAAGTTGTCGTAAAATTGACATTGACCTTGAATTTCAAAGTATAATGATGCTCAGTTAAATTTTAAAGGATTGTGTTCAATTTTTAACGAACCATCCCTACCCTTTCCCACTACTCACTGTTTCGAGCTCAGTGTAAGTGATCCCAGTAGAAAGGGACAGAAAATGAATACTGTGACGCTCTTTGTCAGTCGAGATAAGATGCAATGCCCTTTTCTCAGTAGAGATGCAATGCTCTTTTTCTCAGTACAGATACAATTCCCACTTTCTCCCAAAATTCGTATATATACAAAAAGACCCACCAGAGAACGAATAAAGTAGTTGTTACTTGAAAACCTCCCGTCTTACCATTCGTAGTATAATATTGAATCTCCCGCAAATAACAGAGTTAGAACGAGTAAACTTCTACATTCCATACACATACTTGGAATATACTTATTTGCGTTATTCCGAGTTACCGAAAACTTTAAATGTAAAATCTATACGAGAATGAGACGCGAGGAGAATATTTCTTTTCTTTTAAACTTTTTCCTCGTTGTGCACCGTGACAATACAATAAGTTGAAGGAAAACAGACACATGTTATTAAGGTGCTGCGAACGTAAAGAGCAATCGAGCAGTGATAAAACTTTCGATTTCAGTAATTTCAGTTTCACCTTTTCAAATATCATACCAGTGACTCATCGAGATTCTTCTGATTAAAATGAGTCCAAACATGACGTAAATCGATTTGAGTGGAATGAACTTTTAATCATGTTAATTACATTAAGTCGGAAAAACTAATCCGATTTATGTTGTGTTTGGACTTACTTTAATCAAAATAATGTCAACAACTCATCGGTGTTACGTTTGAGACGGTAAGGTGAAAATTACTGCATTTAAAATTTTCTTTATTGCATGTTTATATCTGACGCGTGCGCCATCGCTTTGAAGTTCCGCGTTTCGAGCTTCGATGCTCGGACGACTGTTTATTTCGCTTCCGCTCACCATATCGATTCTCTGCCTTTGTCAAGCTGTGCTCGAGTCAACTTAGGGAGCAAACGGCTACACTGCTTGCGAGAATTTTAATGCTGGGTCCCGAAATTTAGAATTTAACTGAGCATTTCTACTTGCCGAAAGGATA